AGTTTTAATGATATTTAGAATTTAAATCAAAATATTATTTTGATAGAAGTTATTGTTTGAAATTAGGGTTTTAGAAATTGAAAGATCAAGTCATAATAAGTGTTGATCCCGCGAGGATTCAATAAGAAGAGAAATTGATTCAAGAAGTAGATCAAGCATCGAAGACCTGAAAAGTTTAAAGTGGGTAAATTATATTATTTATGTTTTATTTATGATTTCCATTTTTCTAAATAATTGATCAAAAATCTTATATTATTAAATGTTGAAGACAAACCTTTATGATTTTATAGTCTTGAGAAAGAATCTATATGTTATAAAGGTTTAAAAGCTTTTGGAAAAAAGAAAAAAAAAATGTTTATAAAAATACATGTTAATTATGTTATATGAAATGGTAATAATAAGGATGAAAATGAGAAAAGAAAAGAAAAAGAGAATAAAGGAAAAGGGTATTGAAAAATGACAGGAGTCACCCCCTTATGGTACTGGCTGGGGACGCCGTACTCGTGCACGAAAAAGGAAAAGGAAATTTCTATGGAAATGGAAAAAGGAAATCAAATGGAAAAGGTTGTACCTTTGAGTACTTTGAGACGGTGCTCGTGTGCAAATCAAATGGGAAAAGGAAATGTAAATGAAAAAAAAAAATTAAGATAACAATTGTTTCAAAATAGTATAAATGAAAATATCCAAAGAAGTATAAGTTAAGGAAATGGAAGAAATAATGATGTAGAACGGGAACGCCGACTTTGCTACGGAGAGGATCTCCTCTCCAAAATCTGAAATAAATTCTGATTTCTTTGCCCAAAACCTGAAAAGAATCTCAGATTTTCTCTTGGTGGGAGAGAGGTTGCAAGCTCCCAAATACCCTTCTAGAATTCTGGAATTAGCTTCAGGTTTTTATTCAAAATCTGAGAGAAAATGGACAGCAAGCCGCAGTCTTCAAAATGAAGAGAATTAATGTGAGAGGCTCGGAAGATTCCGCCAGCAGGAGTTAATATAAATGGAGAAGAGAAAAGCTGAGGAGAAAATTCCTTCACAGGTTCTGGAAAGGAAATTCCAATCCCAGGTTTTGGAGAAAAGGGGGAACGGCGGACAATAGGGAAGTTAATGGAATTCAAATCCCGAAATCAGTGAAATGATTTGGGGATTTAGAAAAGGAATTAAGGCCGAGGAAAATTCGGCTCTAATTTGAATTTCAATGTATCATAATGGGTTTGGAGGTTTTCCAATTAATTCCTGTAGGAATTAATGAAATCTGAAACAGCTGGGGAAGCGGTGAGCTGAGAGGTAAATTAGGAAATAAAATTAAAATCCTAAGCTGTTACGTGAAGAAACTCGCGGGATTGAATTGGATTGAGGCTCCTGTTTCCCAGCTGACGGGGTTGAGGATGAGGGAATTAATCACGGGACTAATTCCAGAAATCTGGCCAGCATGCAAGAGGTTTAAATTCCCCAAAATCAGTGAGAAAAAAAACTGCTGGGCTTTAAATAAAAATCTAAAAAATATTTCAGGTTTTTTTTTTTTTTAAGCTAGGAAAGTTTTCTAATAAGAGGGTATTAATTAAGACCAATTTGAATTCAAATTCAAATTGAAATCTAATTAATTTGGAGACCTCAAATTAAGGAGCTAAATTAGGAAAGTATCAAAGCCTAATGAGAGCTTTGAATTTCAAATTCAAAACTCCAAGAGGGGCCGGCGGGTGGAGCGGTGGGGGAAGGTGGTCGGCGGCCAAGAGGGTGGGATCGGGGAAGGTGGCCGGCGGCTATGGAGAAAAATTTGTGGAGCTTGGTATGGAGGTTTGGCCGTGAGGTGGAGCGGGGAGGAATATGAAAACGACGACGGGGAGAGATGAGGAAGAAATCAAAATAAAGATAGAAGATAAAACGAAAGAGAGAAAACAAAAACCGCGAGCCTCGGACTCTTCCGAAGACTGACGGGTGATTCGTTTGCCCTTCTCCAAGGGACTTCACGTCACGAGCCCGGACCCATCCCATCCTGCGGCTGGTGAAATTCTCGATTTCTCTCATAGAAATCTCACTCTCGTCCTCTCCCAAGAAGAACACAAGTGTGGAAAACACAAAATTTTCATATCAAATTAACCATCCCTATTACACTAGCTTAAGGCCCTATATATAGGCCACATCATGAGAAAATAAAAAATTACAAAAATGCCCTTGGGCCATCACACTCAAATAAACTAAGATAGGGGTAGAACAGGAAATAACATAAAATGAAAGCTAAACTTCATAAAATAAATCATAAATGACAACATAAATTAGAGCGGTCGATTTAGGACGCCTCCTGTGATAGATGCATCAAATCTTCGTGCTGATGTCCGCATCAAATAAGGTTAAGAAAGGATAGAAGATATCTTAATTAATTAATTATAATGATCAATTTATATAGTTACCCACTGAGTTTACTTAGTAAACTCAAACCACGAGTTTAAATGTTTCAGGTAATTCCTAAGAAAAGAAATGGCAGAAAGAGAATAACATGTTTACAGAAGACGCCGTGCAAATGACAACAGGTAAAATTTAATAATTGTGTTTAGTGGCTCTTCAGTTAATAGAAAAGTTTTGATGATGAGCTATTATTTATTGATGGAAATGTAATATGGTCCAACTTTTCGTACCCGCCTCGTTAGATCGAGCATCCGGGCCGGGTAGTGACATCATTGCCTCGAAAAAAATATTATTATAATATCTAAAAGTCAACTGCAACTAATTAATCCAGCGGTCCGAGACCAATCTAAAAAGAAGAGCAAAGAGAATAATATGTTCCGCTTATCAAAATTCAGAGCAAAATATTGCCGCCAGCGGATAGTTTACATGCGGTGAATCAAATTGGCCATCATATGATTGTTGCCAGTTTGTTTCAACACAAATATTTGAGAAGACGTGCTTAACTAATGTTTCTACGCCCCCTATTAACGTAGTTCTTACATGATAACAATGTCACAAATTGTAAATTCAATAAATATTATCAAAAGACGTGCATGTCTACTGATTTTTATGGTTCCTCTTATAGGGTTTAAATAAGCTGAGCAAGTAGAACTCAACTAGCTAATGAACTCATGAGTCTAACTTATCGAGCTCAGTCCAAACTCGAGCTCAAATTTTTCTATATGCTCGAGTTTGAGTTTGACAAAACTTGGCTCATTTGACTTGTGAGCCGGCTCATATCTTTGAAAATTAAAAAAAAAAACAGCGTGCTGTTTTTGGTCTTTTCAAAAAATTTAAAAAATAAAACCTACTGCATTTTTTGCAAAGTAATGTTATTCTCATTTCCCATATAAAAGTTGTTCCGCCTGTGACATCTTCTCCAATGAGTTACTTCCACAACTCCAATCCCGACAAGCTACCATGTCTTCTCCAACAAATAAAGCCTGAGATGTCTGCTCCAAATGCCTTATCCAAATCACTATATAGTCAAGCTCAAGCTTACAGTTATTTTAATGAGTCGAGCTCGATCTCTAGTTCAAGCCTACACTTGATTGGGCAAGCTAAACTCAACTTAGGTGTGAGCTGAGCTCAACTAGACTTATTTACACCTCTATTTTATCCTATATAATATCTGACTAGAAAATTCTATATTTGACAAAACAGGTCTTTTTTTTGTTTTGTGTGTGTGTGTGTGGGGGGGGGGGTTTCGGGAAATTGGGGATCACAACTTTATATTTGATAATTGATATAAACCTATCTATGAATCTTTTATCCTTATAAAGTTTATATCTAAACAAAAAAATTTCCATACATTTTCTAACTAATACTTAACGACAACTGATCTGACACACTTCAAATAATTGCATGCAACCTTAAATTTAAAAATCTCTGTTATTTCCCCAAATGATAACCATACACTCATACTTGGATAGTGAGACTAGCACTCTAAATCAATTCTCAATATGAAACTGTTTCAAGATTAGCATCACTACAGCTTATAGTAGATCTTTCATTCGGCAAAACTAGCAAGTCTCATTCACAAATAGTAATATAGGAGGCGTGTTCTTCAGCTTAGTATTCCTCCACTGGGAGAAACAAATAGTTCTAGAACAGCAGCCAAAACTATATAAGATTATTCTCTCTCTCTCTCTCTCTCTCTCTCTCTCTCTCTCTCTCTCTCTCTCTCAATATGAATACACAAGATGATATTTTTTCCATGTTAGGCAGCAAAATCAAGCTAAATTCTGAAGGTTTGAGCAATGAGTTAAGCTATTCCCCTATGGCCTACAGGCCAACAAATTTGCTAACATGAAATCATAGTAAAGCCTCATTTGTGCATTTAATAGCAGGAAAGAAGAGATCAATCAGCACATGTTTTCCAGCGATAAAGACATGTCTACATGTATATATTGAAATGTAGCCTTCTTCAGACCTGAATTTGAAAAGACAAGAGACCATTTTCCATAGCCATTGAGTCACTTCCAACTCGTTGGGAAGGCAAGAGACCTTTACCAGGAGAGTGGCCTTTGGAGTTCAGTGCACATGGACATGTTCAGAGAAAATTTGAGGGAGGATTATGAATGACTGATCAATTGTCTTAAAAGACCGAAAATCAGTTGAAAATATAATCAATTTTTTTGCTTGGAATGAGTTTGGATTAAGGTTAATGAGCCAAAACAAGCTCAAATCAAGAAGGATCAAACAACTGTATGGTTAAACCTAACTCAACTCGAGGTAAGATTGAATAACTTTGAGTTGATGAAGAGCTAACGTCTGATTAGCTCAACTAAATTTGTAGATACAAAAATAAATAAATAATAAAAGTTGGAGCAATTGAGATCAATCAAGATTAAGAACCTTTCATAACTGATAATGCAATGAAGCAAGTAACATGATAAAACAGTTGATCAGTAAAACTTTGTGAGTTCATCATCAAAACAGTTCAAAGCTGACCAAAGCACCAGTGTGAGGAAATGCTGGGATGAACAAACCAAAGATAACACTGGCACAACTTAATCAAAGAATATTAACTAAAAAAACTGAAAATAAAAAATAAATAAATACAAAATAATGCCGAGTTTATTAAAGTTCAAATAGGATGCTTTTAGTAATCCGATTTGATTTAAAAGAGTAATCAGCTATTAATGCGAGAACATGGAAAATTTATATAGACAGAAGTGCCAAGCATATGAAGGCACATTGAACATTACAGTATTTTTCAAAAAAGCAAATATTGAGACAGCATATACTCACAAAGTTTATGACTGACTCTCATTGATCAAAAGATTATTCTTTTTAATACTTCATAATGCTCTTAGTCCAGCTTGACATTGGAGTAGAGAAGAGTGTCCCTTGTAAGTGGCATGTTCATCAAGAAGCATATCTGCATTGGAATTCAGTTAGCATCGAACGCTGGGTAATAGCAAGAGCAAAATCCAAGAAGAAATTCCTCACAAAGATTCTGTGGAAATCCTCAAAATAATGATAAGCGGGTATATTTCAAATCAATTTTATTAATTCTTTACAATCAAAACTATACAATAGATTAAGATTTGCTGGTGAATGCAGAAGTCGTTGATCCATGAATAAGTTTATCTTAGGTAGAAACTCGTCCTTGAAATACATCAATCTTGAAAATTCACATATTATTTAATTTATTAGAAAAATTCCCAAAATAATACCTGAATATTCATATATTTGGCCAATTTAGTCTCAGAGTATCATGTTGCCTCAATTTAGTCCAATTTAGCCAATTTAGTCTATTGACTACACTAAATTGATCCAAAATAGTCCCTCACGTTGTAAATGTAATATAAAATTGATCACAATTTAGTCCCAAATAGATCATTTTGAATCAATTTTATATACTTGAGGAACTACATTGGAGCAACATTATATTCTGGGACTAAAATGATCATATATGAATAATTGAGGGACTATTTTGAAATTTAATCCTTTAATTTATCTTCCAACTAGATATCTTTGGTAGAAACTTACTATTGTAAATACAAAAATTTGGATGCAAGAAAAGATTGGCTAGATGTTATCGAGTTCTTGGAGAATTTCTGTAAGGTTGCTTCTAGGTTTTCTTTAATCCCTAAAAGCACAAGGGCAGGAGCAAAGTGCCAATTGGAGTAACATTAGCAATCATTTCTTCTAACAGATGCTTTTCACAAAAGCCAATAATTTTCATCTATCAATTATTCCTATGGTCATGAATTCACGTAAAATAATGAAGGCATGCATGACCAACAATCAATTCTTGCAATGCGTAAGCAAATCACATGAAAACATTTCCAAGTGAAACTCCAAAGCACACATTCTTAATTGATAACAGAAGCGATTTCTATTTTAAATCACTAATGCACGAACCATGATTGAGAAATCAGACATGTAGTTAAATAAGCACACAACGATCGACTGCACATCAACAGCTAAACTTTGAGAAATAATGGCTTTCTAATTGAAATCTTCTTGACCCTGGACATGGACGGCTTACAAGATTAATAAATCGAATGAAATGATGAATTGCTTATCAGTACTAAAAATTAACAAAACCTGCATTTAATTCATATGGCTTTTAGATGTCGGAACCATCACTATTAATTGAGAATTTTATTTTATTTCATAACGCATTATCATGTTGAAGTCTTTGCTGTCCTTCGGCCAATTTTTTCATCCACTACCAGCAATGAATTCATACCTACAAACAAAATAAATAACTTCAATTAGTGCACCTTAGTAAGAGATTCGTTAGCTTATCCACTACCAGCAAGGAAAATGCTTCACTTTATAAATCATTTTGTTATGCAAAGCGCCATTTCTCTTTCTAATGAGTTCTTGGCTTTCATCAAGGGAGCATGATTCTTCTCTATACTAGGTTCGCCATCTAACGGTGCATTTAAACTAATTCCTCTAAAGCTCGTCATTAACTTGAGCAAGCCGAAATTAATAATAGGCTTTGTTAGGCTACCTATTAAGGCATGTTTAAGCCTATCTAAAATATAATATATTTCTACAATAAAAACTGACGAAATAACCCACTCAATTTTTCGTTCAAATCATAACTAACTCGCATATTTGAGTCAAGCTCCAAGTAAAGAATGTCAAGCTTGAAAACCATTGAATTGCTTTTGAATTCATAGTTTCTTGATAAAAATTTGATTAGAGATCAAAAAATAACATTAATATATAAGCAAAGGAATTAAAAGGCATACCAGTAAGAGTTTAGTAATGTTTATAAAATGTTATGAGTTCAGACCATATATCTCCAATATTATTTTTAATTTAATTTAAAATCTTTTAGTGGATGTCAAACATGAACGTGTTGGGGCTTTCAAATCATAATTGAGCTTATGAGATAGCCCAAGCACATTAGGTTAGCTTATGTTGGGCTATCTCATGAGATGACCCAAAGCACATTAGGTTATGATGAATCTTGGCTAATTCGTAAGGCCCTTGAATGAATGCTCCAAGAAAGGAAAAGGAAGAAAAGACCAAGCTTCATGCAAAATGATCACTTCATCCATCAAGTTCAAAGTTTCATTAAAGTTCGATTTCAATTGACTCTGCAACCCCCTTTCTGCTAGGATTCATGCTATCTGTTTATCAAAGTTTTATTACAATCAATTTTAGAATAACCTTAATTATCCTATAAATATGATGTCTCGGTCAACCAAAAACATCTTCCAAATCCACTTTTGTTGTAAGAACAAATAAGGTCTACCAAAGAACACTCAAACCCTTGATAAAGATTTAGAGGAGGATCATAACAACCTCATTTGAAATTCATGTCACTATCATCAAGATTAAAGGATGACTCGCAAGTACCCTAAATCTCACGAATGGATCTAGAATGACTTATTTGATTATAATGGCTAAATATAACCAGATCATATTAAATTCAAAAGCATATCCATCCCCATTGCTTTGGGTGACCAAACATGCCAATAAATTTACAAACAGAAATCTAAGCATGCTAAAGCTCTTGACCCAACTGAAGCATTGATCAATCTCCCTCCAATCAAAGTCTTTAAAGTCATTGGTGATCTCTCTCTATTTTAATTTATCATTACCATCGGTGCTCTTTATCAATTCATTTATCTAGAGCTTAGCAATCCCTATCTCTATCATTTCTTTCCTCACCTCCTCGGAACAATCAAATCGTCTGCCGCTAAATGCCATCGGTAGCCCAAAATGCATGCCTTAGTCATTTTTGCAGATCAAAAGCCCTCCTCTAATCCCCAACCTATCACCATATCAATCTTAACCGATCTAAATTGTTTACTCTAACCTTAAACAAGACTAGTTCAAGTCACTAGTTTAATGCGTGGAAAGAAAAAAAAGTTTAATGTATGAAATGAACGAGTCAGGTTACCATCAATTCTAAATAATTTGTGTTTGGTTGAGATAAGGCATACATCTGACCAACTGGAAGAATGTAAACACAATAATCCACTCCAATATGCGCTTATTTATAAAATGCTGCTTATTTAAAAAATGGAGGCTACAGCAGCTTATCCTGACAAAAATTATAAACATACCAGATGGATAAGGGAAAAAAACTATAAATTGTCGATAATCTAGTGGCTCCTTGCACTAAATAGAAAGTTGAACAGAATGTAGTAATAGAATAGAGGTCATACAAGTTAAACTTTTAGCATAACAGGAACCTTGATCCACTGACATTGTAACATTTTAATGTTATTTCTAAGGAATCACCATATGCATAAAATCAAATGAGCAAGTTTATTCATTATCACCATTAGCTTATCCCAATTATTTGGGGTTGGCTTTATGAAGCTTCATTTTCAACTTTTTAACGCTATATAAGGTTGCTGATTCGATCATGCAAATATTTTTCAATAATTTCTATCCAACTTACCTTAGATCTGCCCTTATTATTACATCCAAATAACATCAAATTTCCACAAAAATATTACAACTGTGGCAGGTGTGTTAAATCGCAACCAAATTGGCCAACCTGACCACTATTCCACCTAAGGTATCATATATAAATATGGTTCAAATAGGTTAAGGTCAAGTTCAGACCAGCGAGAATGAAACTATTATAATTAGAATTGGTCAATCTTTGAACTTAAAGACCTATTATCACTTGAATAAGAGTCTGGTCAATCTATCACATACTTAAGGTCAACCAGATCGGCACCTATCTAACAGTTAACCAAGTTACAAATGGCACCATCATAACTCGCTAATTTGAAAATACTATTTTATACTAGTGCTACATTCTAAATGCAAATTAACAAGATATTTCTGCAAACGCAAAATTAGCTAGAAAAAACCCAATTTTGCATGTTTTTATTCATCCTACAACTTTTTTAATGAGTTCAAAATAATCTTCTAACAATTAGTAAGTATCAAATTTAATCTCAAAGCTTCGCATTGCCTCAATTTACTCCCTCGAATCTTAAATATCGATCTATTTGGCTCCTCTATTAGAAAATATATTAAATTTAATAGAATATTTGTAGATCTCTGGTTTTTCATAATGTGAGGGAGATATTTTAGTAAAAACATTTAAGTTTCATTTTTTTAAAATGCCTGAACTCATCCCATTCCAAAATCATCCAGTTTGAGTCTGAGATCGAGTGGGGAATGATTGCAAAGCACTAACTAAAAGCAATGAGTCACTGAAGCAGTGTGCAGTGATCTTCAATGACTGTGTGGGTGCAAGCAGCAAAGTCTGAGCGACAAATCAGTATCTTGAAGGGTTGTGAGCGGGATTTTGGGCAGGCGACTGTGAGTGGCAAAGCACCGTCTCTAATGAAGACAAAGGGGCGCAAGCGAGATTTTTTGTATACTTAATCAACAATATATTTTACTAATTACTCATCCTTATTAATTAGTGGATTAACTTTCATTTTAGGTTTTATATTTATCATAATTTATTAAATAAAAAATAGAGCAATATAAGCAATGTAATCATACACTTACACTGTTTAAAATACCATAACGTTTAACATTGTAACTACCTATTATTTTTTGAACTAAAACAAAATTGGATTAATTTTCAACAATTGATGAATTAAATTGGTTCTGCGGGAAACTCTGTGACTAATTTGGGTACTTCCTAATTGTTGAGGAATTATTTATGGTTTTTTCCTCTTTTTATATTAACAGACTAAAAAACAATGATTACTTAATTGAGAAATAGAGATCCTCCCCCACAAATACATTAGCATTAACTAAACCACAGCCATTAAACTACTTCATCTAAAAATAGCTAGTCAATCAATTTTAACATAAAAAAATGAGATGATGGCCATTTCTTTTCTTAAAATGGGCTCAGTACTCACTACCAGAGTAGAAATACGCATATTGTGGATAAGATCATGTAAAACCTAGAAAATATGAATAAAGTACATTCTATTTCCATAAAGTGTTATGACAGTTGGTGTAAATTTCTAGCAATTTCAGGGAAAGAAATTAATCAACTTTTTTTTTTAAATCTCCATATCCAAAGAAAAATAAGCATTAGCAAGATTGAACAAGATCTTAACAGTAAAAGGGAGTAAATAAAGAAGGTGCAAATTTAACCCTACCCTAATAGCTACAACCCCAACATACACACACTATAGAAAAAAATAAAGATTTTCAGTTCCTATAAAGAATGACCATTGTGGTAAGGGCTTAACCCATCAAGAATGACCACATTGCCAATATCTTATGACCCATCAAGCAATTTTTAGCATTCTTTACCATTCTTAACATCCAGAAGCATCAAGTCCATCAAGTTTGGTGAACATGACAAAATTAGCATTAATAAATAAAGGGAACTATTCTAAATGGTTAAATCAAATCAATATGGAACTTTACCCCAATTAGAGTTGAGACAAGAAGAATAATAGCAGTTATCCATGCCAAACTCCGTCTCACTAATAAAACCCGTTTAATCTCTGCACTTGTATCATTATCAGAGCTCATTTCATCCAGCCAACGTGCCAACCGAGGTAACTGTATAACTTCTAACATATTTTCTGTGCTTGGATAGGCATCCTTGCTAGACACCACGACACAGACAATTCTTCCTGTAATAGCATAATTGATTAAAAAATAACCATAAAAAGATGTTATTAACAACCACTTATGTACTTCACTTCAATGAAAAAGAATTAAAAGAAAAAAATGTAAAATAGGACGCCATAGAAAAATCTAAAAGAAAACCATCGTTAAATGAGAAATTGTGTTCAAGCCCAAAAAGTTGGCCAAGGTCTAGGGAGGGTAGAGGTTTAGAATTTTAGAGCCGATCAAGTCAAATAAAAATTATGGTTTAATTTTGAAAAGTTCATTGTCAGATTAAACAAATACTTAAAAAACTATACCGACAGATGTTGAATAACTCATGTTAGACTGAACTTTAGCTTGAGTTTGCTTGAGTTTGACATGTTCGATGATAAGTAAATGATTGAAACTTTAACAAAGACAATGCATGTTTATCATACTTGCTGAACATAAAAAAGAGCCAGCTAAATTAATTTTGACTGAATAAGAGTTCAATATATAAAATTATTTATATATCCGCAAAGATTTGCATATATTTTAATATTAAAATTTATTATTAAAAATCATGAAAAATAATCTAAAAATCATGGAACACTTGTTTTCTAATTCTTTCAGACATAAACTGTACCATATCAATTACAAACCTTATTTTATGCATACTTATTAATCAAGAAACTGTCAATGCATTTGATGTTCAACAACTTAGCTTATTGTTGATGTTCATCTTGATAATAAACAAGCGAAAGATAAAAAAGATTTTTTAACTAGTTAATGAACTTTTGGCTTTTTCATGTAAGACTTGACCATTAACAAATCGAGTTGAAGAAAACCCTAGTAGTTAAGTGAACAAATATGCTCAATGAATAGCTTGATCCTCAATCATATAAGCATAATTTATTATTCTCTATTATTGTACATTTAGACAAACAAACAAGTATGCAAAAACATTTAGAAGCGTTGAAATAAATTGAACATTGCCCATTGATCAACTCATTTATATTTGCGAATTTGTTCATTTGTTTTGGGGACTTTTGTTGACCCCTAATGCACATTCCACAACTAATTCGAGTTTGTCATATGAGAATGCCGGTCACTTGATGCAACACCACACGAAATAGGTTCGACATGCACTGATATCGCACAAAATGATCCGAATGGCCTTTGCTCACGAAATAAATCACGCAAATGCATCCAATACATCGAAATTACTCAAGAAATATCTCCCGCGATCAATTTGAGCAAGTGCAAACAAAAAACAACAAATTACGAGCACAATGTTACATGACAATGCCTGAATCATCTCCATTCGTTAAAAGGATCTCTCAATTCCATCCTAGACGTAAAAATTACTTAAAGAGGACACCCATATTGCTCGGGTGATAGCACAAGATAAATGATGAAAAGTCAACCCGCACGCATGAATTAAGAATGAATTCAACACACGTGAAGTGAATCAACGCATGTTTAAACAAATATCTATTTATTATAATAAAAATATTGATTTGAAAATTATGATTAAATTTTCAATATCTAAATTACTAAAAAAACATATATAATAAATATTAAATAAAATTAAAATAATAAAATTTTCAAAATGGGAATCATGATACACTTATTCATGTCCTTTTGCTGCTATAGCAAAAGTACAACCTTGTAGTTTTTATTTTATTACTTTTACTTATTATTTAAAAAAAAAAATACCTAAACCTAATACCCACCTCACTCCCATATTCCCCTCATTCACTCAAACCCATCTCCCTAACACTCTTGTTATCAAATTAGGTTTAAATTTCAAATTTTAAAAATCCAAGGTGATAAATTTTAAAAATCCAAATTTGTTGCCACTATATGCTCAAGAGTTAGTGTCTACTTGACAAATAGCCTTAATCGAAAGTTTTCTCTTGTAATTAATCATAAATGTTTGCATCTATGAAAAAATTGGAGCAATATCTTAATTTCTTTGCAAAATGAGGGTGAAATATCTGGGTAGTGTCTTATCTTCAAATCTAATTAGCCTTCAAAAAAATTGGCCCAAAACATTTTCGTTAAAGCTCTAAAAATGCAAGCGAGGTCAAAGCATAAATTTTTTAAGCCCACGACTTTGAATGAGAAGACAAGAAAACTCGTGGAAATAATAATTATAAGAATAATAAATATTTCTTGTTTATACAATATTCGGAGGAAAATCCAATGAGATCGGAGAAGTTTACAAGTTATAATAATGTTAAAAAGGCTAAAAAAATGAATGTGGTAAAAGCTTATGCTCCTTATGTTGGATTAAAAGACATTTTATAAAAATTAATTAGGGAAAATATAGAAGAATTGGCATATATGTGAAGAAGAATTGATGTTTTTATTAGAATTGATTTAAATGGGCTTATAGGTTATAATAGGATGGGCTATAAGAAGATTCATACCAACAATAACTAAATATGTAATAAGAGATAAAAATGCAAAATTTTACTTGATTTCATAATAGTTATTATCTTGTAATATTGAATAAATAGTTTAAGAAACAAAAAGAAGATTTAGTTACTTGCCAAAGTGGAGCAACAAATCACAAATAGATTCTTTCTTATTTAAAAAAAATACAAATATTATAGGTGATTCCAGGGAAGGGTTTGCCTATAAAACATAGAGTAATAGTTATGAATGTGTATAAAAAATAAAAAATAAAAGTTCTAGAACAAAGTTGTGAAACTTTAAAGATTAGAAATTATTATCCTTTTAGGACATGCTGCTATGAGAAGTAAATTGGTAGTTAGGCCAAACTTGAAGGTTGTCATAAAAATTTCAAGGGAGTAGAAATAGATAGTACAATGATAGGGAGACTTAGAGGTGGAGTAAGAAAGTACGAAAGATTGTTGATGATAAAAAAAATGTCCTATTAAAGAGCAACAAAAATCGAATATACTGAAGCTTATAATGATTATGAGAAAACTGCAAGTCTAGCAAAGAGTGTAAAAATAGGAGGTGAAATGAAAAGGTACAAAAAATTAAGGATTAAAAATATGCTTTTAAAGAGTAAGTGAAACAAAATATTATTGAGGCTTATAATGATTATAAGAAAGTTTAAGTCTTGAAAAGAGTGATAAACAAACCAAAAGCTGTAGTATTTTATGGTTTATAAATAAGCATAGTATTATGGATGGAGAAAATGGGATGTATAGAATAGCTACAAGGCTATTTGGTAGCAAGTATCTAGAATTCAAGGTTATTATAAATGCAGTGCTATTTGGAATTAAAGAAATAAATTTTTTTATGTGTAGTTTGAACTAATAAAAATAGAAATTAAAAGTATAAAAGGAAACCAAACTAGGTCATGGAGGACAGAGGTAGACATGGTGGCGAGAGTCTAGAGACCTAATTAGGATGTAGCAGAAGCAGCTTTGTGTGACAAGTGAAAATGATACTTGATATAATCTTACTATACTTGGAAACTCTTTGATCACTCCCCAAGTATTTATAATACTAGTTAGTGTTCTATCATACATCTTGTCTTAATGTACACCAAATCATTTGTCGTAGTATTTAATATTATGCTTCTCACTGAAGATTCTTTCTTTGCTTATTATTTTTCATCAATTACGTTAATACAAAAAACCTACCTTAATACTTTTCATCAATTAGCTTAATGTACACTGTTGTTGCCATGTCTCAAGCCCTGAACGAAAAAAATAGAGTGTTGCATTAGGTAGTTAACAACCAGCGTAAAATTTATTGAATAATCATTACTAGAAACCTTTAATATATTGTAAATATTTTGTTGTTGATTGTCTATGAGTGATTGAGATTTTATCAATTTTGTGAAGGATCGGCCGATTTGATTGGGAGGGAATTAGAAAATTTATAATCAAGAGGGAGTTGTTTAGGAAAGTTTTTAATCAAAAGGAATAATTAGGAGATGTTTCCTAATTGAGGAAAGCATTTTTGGGGGTTGATTTAGAGGAGATTAATTATAAAATATTTTCTAATTGAAGATGACATATTTAGAGGCTGATTTGAGGGCTCATTTGGGAGGGAAATAATTAAGGAAATATGAGTGAATTAGGGGAGGGCTGTTTGGGTATTTGTTATTTATTGTTTGCTTTAAATAGGTGATTTTCCTAGGATTAGGGATGGATGTCGTTTGCCGAAATTAGATTGTTCTTAGAGTGTTTGGGCTCCAGCCGATGGCTAGAGATTTGGGAGAGCCGGATCTTCCTCTCCAATTGAAGATCCACTTGTACATTATATTTTCTTTCATAAAACTTTCAATAAAAAAATGCTTGTGTTTTATTCATGATTTTCTTTTCGTTGATTTTTTTGAAATTGCTGAAATCATATTTCAGCCAAGGCTTTTCCTAAATTTTTGCAAGCACTTCCTATCACTTTGCTACATTCTAGTTTTCTACTTTGCAATGTGAATCCTAAATCAATGCATGCTTTTTATTTGTTCGATGATTTCTAACAAAGTTTCAAATTTTCATGACATCTAAATGACTCTTGGGAATAAATTATAATAATTTTCCTATCTTTCAAAAGAAATTAATCCTAAACTAAAAGTCAGCAAATTGTGAATCATGATTTTTTTGTATGTTTGTTCGTGCATCTCACCTAGGGGTGTAAACAAGTCGAGTTTTTGCACTATCGAGCTTAGCTCTTTAGTCGGAAAGCGAGCTTGAACTAGCTCGAGTTCAAGCTCAAAATGCGAGCTTGAACTCGAGCTCGTCCTACTATAAACTAGCTCGAGCCGGCTCGCAAGCTTTAATAAGCTTGATTCGTTTTTCAAAAAAAGCTGCAGCATTTATCACAAAATGCAATTTTCTGAAAAGCTGCAGCATTATTCAAAATAAAGCTGCTTATTTTCCCAAAAAAACTCCCTCCGGAACTCTTTTTACCGCACTATTAAGTGGCCGGCTTGCAAGGGATTTGATTTGAAAATTTGATTTGACAAGGACTAGTGGCCGGCTTGCAAGGGATTTGACTAAGCAGGCAAAAGTCACCAACCTTCGGTATTTATTATTAAGTTTTTTTTTAACTATTTAAATAAAATAAATATTATTTAATAATATTAATAGTAGTTCGAGCCGGCTCACGAGCTCACGAGCCGAGCTGAGTTTGAGCTCGAACTCAAGCTCGTTTAATAAACAAGCTCGAGTTTGAGCTCGAGCTCGAGCTCGAGCTCGTGGCTCGATAAGCTCGGCTCGCGAGCTTGTTAACGAGTCGAGCTTGAGCCGGCTCGGCTCACTTACACCCCTAATCTCACCCTACATTTACATTAGTAAACCTAAAATCCTAGACATCCTACATAAAAAATTTAAAAAGAGCAGAAATTTTCAGATAACAATAACATGACATAGTTAGCAAAACTATGGCATTGATACAGCAGGCCTCAACATAGTTCAAATTTACCAAATTCATACTTGCAATGGATTGCCAATTCATCTAATTGACATAGTTAAAGACTGATTACTTGTCGTAAAAAACACAGAGACCCTGACTGCTATAAAAACGACAAAAACAACGAGGGAAAAAAATGAAATTCTTTCATGCAACCAAAACATAACGGTAATTAAATGAATTAGAACAATAGTAGAGAGAATGAGGCAACCAACCACCAGAAGATTCCTGTAAGGTGTTAAATAACTTGATCAGGGAGTCCTTCACCAATTGTGCTCCAAGTTTAAAAATATCCCCCTCACCATATTCCACCTCCAGAGCCTACCATAGATTTTAAAAGTCTGTAAATAATTAATCAAAAAACCATAATGATGGCACTGATGTTAATACTTGCATAAACTAAATGAAGTTGTATGCAAAGCTAATAAGACTCGATGACAGCGATGGCAAGTTCAAAAACATTGCTGATATCACTATAAAAATCAAACAAATATGACATGCAACTTTGGGAAAGTAAGTAACGTTACCAACACTTAATAAATCCAACTTTTAAGATGGCCTGTAAGAGGAATTTTTGAACCAAATTAGGTGTAAGAAAGAAAAAGACATAATTTGATTCTAATACCACCAAGTTTCAAAGTATAATTTTCCAAAAAGTGAGTAAACTATTTATTATTCATCGAAAATTCGATACTTCTTCGTCACCAAACATGTACACTATATGGAGCAAGGATGGGAATCATATTCATGTTCAAAAGTCAATACCATTGTTGATTGCATTAGATAGTGCCTTTTCAGTTAGTATGTTGTTCAAATTCATCAAATATTCAATATACATTCTGATGCGGACATCCAACCGTCCATGCTTATCCGAGGAGGAGCTGAAGATCGACGACCGAGATCACTTTGTTTTATTTTTGTTTATTAACTGTATTTTAATTTAGTTTCGCAATTTCCCTTTTTTACCCTCTTATCTTATGTAAGCCCAAGGGGCAAATGTATCTTTTAATTTCTCTTGAGGCCTATATATAGAGGCTCATTCTCTTGTATTAGGATGATGATGATGAATGAAAATTTCTACTTTTGATCTCTTGGTGAGTTCATATTTTCTTGATCTCTTGGTGAGTTCAACTCTCCTAGATCTCTGTGTGAGTTCTATGGAAAGCCCAAGGTGAGGGAAAAAACAATACCCGTCAATCTTTGGAAGAGTCCGAGGTTCGCGGTTCTTACGATCTCTTTGTGAGTTCGTTAGTTATCTCTATCTTTCTTTGTTTTTGTTTTTGTCCCTAGCCATCGTCTTTCTTCCTCCTCCCCTCTCAGCCCCTCGGCCAAGCTCCATACCGAGCCCTCATACCGCCCGCCCAATCTTTAGCCGCCGGCCACCATCCACCACCTCATCCCATTGGAATCCTTGCCTAATTTGGGTGTTCATATTTTGGGCTGATTTCACATTCAAAATCATGTATTTTGAAATTCGAAATCTTTCCTAATTTATGAAAGCTATTTTTTTTTTGGAAGTTTCCATTTTTAAATCCAATTTGAATTTCAAATTCAAAAGGGATTTAATTGATTCTTGCCTTAATTCCCAAACATTAAGCAAATTCCATTAAGTCCTTAATTTAAATTCATTTGAATTTTAAATTCAAATTTAAGAAGCCTTAAATGCCCTCATTACATACTTCCATCTCCCCTTAATTCAGCCGGCCTCTTTTATGAGTAAATTAGGATTTATTTCCTAATTGCATCATAGACTACTTTGGGAATAATTCAAATTACCTCTATTCCTTTGGCTGAATTTTCTCATCAGTTATTGGATACAGAATCCATGAAATGGCTTTCATTACTTTCCAAAGCTGATAATTTCTGCTTGCCGAACCTTTTTTCCCCTTATTGCTCCAGCCGAAATGCTACCTTTCTTTGATTTGAATTTTAAAATTCAAATCAATTCCCTCCTAATTTAATTAAAACTGAAATTAAAATTCAGATTTTGATTAAATTCCTAATTGATGACGGGTTGTTCTGCACCCTAGGAGATCACAAACTGCTGTTCAGAAGATCCCATCGGTCTACAGCAGTTGTCCAAGCTTTCCAAAGTAATTGTAGGTGGCTGGCCAGAATTTTCCAAGTAATCCTAAGCCTAATAACTGCTGTTTGGGAAGGTCAAACTGCTGTCCAGCAGTTTTCGCTGGATTGTTTCCACTACAACACCATAAAATTTCAGATTTCATGAAGGGGGCTTTTCAAATTTTGTGAGGAGACACTTGGAATTTTGGGGGAAGAGATCCTCTTCCTAGCAAAGCATATTCCCGTATCACATCACATTCAATAACACTTAATTGTAAAACATGGCTACAAGAATATCCAACAATAACAACAAGCCTTTTATCTCATAACATGGTGTCAACTCCGTAAATTCTTTGTTCTACATTGTATCCTATTAATAGTCAAATTCTCATTTAAATCTAATTTTTTAAAAAAATATTATTTTTAATACTTTCTAGCCATGTCTTTTTATATATGCATCTACCTTTTTTAACATAGGCTGGATCAAAAATCTCTACTCTCCTAATAGGGTCATCAAAAGAAAAAGTTTTATGTAGCCAAATCATCTAATGCAACTATCTCTAATCTTATTTGCCACTGAAGCTACTCCAACGTTTTCACGTATATACTTGTTTCACATTTTGTCTTTATGAGTAAAGTCACTCATCCACCTAAGCATCCTCATCTCTACAACACTTAACTTTATGCTTCTTCTTCTTTTTTTTTTTCTTTTTTTTTTTGCCAACATTCTACACCATAAAGCATCGCTAGTCTCGCCCCCATCTTATAACATTTTCCCTTATGTTTGAGGGGTACTTTTTAATCACACAACAAGTCTAATGCATTCCTCCACCATCCAACTTGAATTCTACTAATAATATCCCCATCTCACCATTAGTTTGAACAATAGATCTAAGATATGTAAAATGTACACTCTTTCCAATGACTTGATTACCCAATATCACAATCCCAACATTAAATCTATTACTACTAAAATTACACTCCATATATTTGATTTTAGATCTACTGAAATGAAAACTTTAGGCTCTAAGGTTGGCCTTCATAATTTAAGTTTTTCATCAACTCCCTCTCTAGTCTTATCAACAAGAAGAATATTATTATCCAAAATCATACACCTAGGTAAATCCTCTTGCAAATGTCCAGAAAAAACATCTATGACTAAAGCAAAAATATATGGGCTTAAAGCTGATTTTTTACGTAATCCAATTGACATAGGAAAATACTTAGTCAAACCACCTTGTATATGAACACAAGTAATAGGTCCTATATACATATAATATAAGAATTATTGACTCCCTTTTTTCTAAAATTCTCCTAATCACTTCTCTTGAAATTTAGGGTGCGTTTGGGACGGCTGCAACTATCGGTAAAGTAGGTTGTGAAATTGCTGTACAGAAAGTTGCTTCCTGAAGTTGCTTTATAGAAATCATTATATTTTGTTTGGATAGTATAAATGTAGAGCTGCTATGCTGCAGCTGCATGAGAACAAATTACCTTCATATCCTTATATATACTTAGATGAGATATATAATTTTTCAAATTTTAATTTTTTTTAAATGTATATGATAATCAACTAACAATTCTAAAAATCAAAATTGTATCCCTTCTTTAGTTGGTACAACTTTTTTTAAATATATTAAAGATGCCAATTTTTTTTTTAATATTGTTGTAAAAAATAAAATTTTAACTTAAAAATATTTGTAAGCCGTACAAAAAATGAAAAAAAATTAAGATTATATTTAAGATTTCAAAAGCTACGTAAAAAAAATTTATCCAAGTCTTAATTTTAATGCTTTTTATAATATTTGAATAAAATAAGTTAAAACTTTTTTATTTTACTTCTACGAAGTTGACAAAGACACCTAAGGATACTTGAAAAATACCTTTTACAAGAAGTAATAATGTGCTGATTGCTACAGAAAACTTTAGGAAAATATGAGACCACATTCAAAATGGAATAATTGGAGAGGAACGAACTTTTAACAAGTAAATCCATCATTCATATGCTGAACTTGATTGTAACGTCACTGGTGCCATTGTCAGAATGTGATGAGGTTGAGGTTCAAGAGAGGGCGTGCAATGTGCTTGGTTTGGTTCTCTTCTTGAATGGGATTGAGTGGAAAACTGACGATGTAGACTGGAGGATTGATGGAAAAATTAGGGAGATTGTTAGAGTTATGAGTGATGCTTTCTCTGAAGAGCTTGGTCCTGTATCAATGCATGCTCAAAAAAGAGTCCTTGTGCCTGAGGGGCTAGAGCTTAAGGAAAACCTTAGTGATCTTGATATGAAGCTAAGGAAAACAACATGTATAACCTTTGGAGACGAGAATAAGCTGCAGGTTTTTTTTTGTAGGATTCGAACCAAGTCGAGTGGATCCACGCTTCAATTCTTTCCATAATTTCCAATCTTTTTTTAACTGATTCCATTTATTTTTTAACTGATATTGTAAAACCTGTTCTCACGAGCAGCCCAAACTCACACATGGAATAATTCTAAAACAACTTCTGTATTAAATTGTAAGTTCAGCAGCTTCAATTGTTCAATGTAGATGTAATTTGTTCTCTTAGTTATATCATCTACTCAACAGCTTCACAATCTTGTGTCTCATAATTTGTTACATCTTCTGCGTCATGTTTGGTTGAAGAAACAATTATTACGACAAGAAGAAAACAACAAGTTATTCGATGAATTTCAATTAACAAATTAGTTTGAAAGGGGCCTTCAACTGCCAAGCAAAGTAACAAATTACTTCACATTACAGCGATCAAGCTCAACATAGAAGAAAAAAGTTCTCATTGACCAGCTTTCCAAAAAAAAAATATCCAAGATAACTGTTCATACATCAAACATAGAAGAAAAAAAGTTTTCATTGAGTAACTTTCCAAAAAAAAAAGAAAATCTTTCAATCAAGCTTTCTTAAGGTTAACTAAAGAACAGAGCTTTTTTTTTTTTACTGTATAATATCATACTTCAAAATAATCTTGAAAAAATTACAATATCTAATACTCAATTACATTGCAAATATATGTAAATGTATTCATCAATTAGCCTAATAATGAATTATATTCTTGGTAGAGTAAACTACTTTGATTACAAATAACTTGAATTCAGAAATGGTCTAATTACATTGCAAATAAGCTCAAATTTAGTGTACAATTCAATAATACATAACAATAATATTAGATATGCCAACATACATGGAATATAGGAGTCACAGACACAAAAACTCAGATGAATTTACTTCAAAATCTTCAAAAATATTAGGCCCGACTCGAACTATAATATGAAGGTTGGAAGAGACAAATATATGTAATTAATATTTACCTCTAATTTCTCTTTCCACCATTCATCATGTGCGTCAATGGTTTTTTCCTAGGATCCCAACCAAATCCAGTGGATCCATGCTTCAATTCTTTTCATAATTTCCAATCCTTTTTTAACTGATCCCGTTTATTTTTTAACTGATATTGTAAAACCTGTTCTCACGAGCAGCCCGAACTCACACATGGAATAATTCTAAAACAACTTCTGTATTAAATTGTAAGTTCAGCAGCTTCAATTGTTCAATGTAGATGTAATTTGCTCTCTTAGTTATATCATATTATCATCTACTCAACAGCTTCACAATCTTGTGTCTCATAATTTGTTACATCTTCTACTTCATGTTTGGTTGAAGAAACTATTATTACGACAAGAAGAAAACAACAAGTTATTCAATGAATTTCAATTAACAAATTAGTTTGAAAGGGGCCTTCAACTGCCAAGAAAAGTAACAAATTACGATCAAGCTCAACATAGAAGAAAAAAAGTTCTCATTGAGCAGCTTTCCAAAAAAAAAACCAAGATAACTGTTCATACATCAAACATAGAAGAAAAAAAGTTTTCATTGAGCAGCTTTCCAAAAAAAAAAGAAAATCTTTCAAGCAAGCTTTCTTAAGGTTAACTAAAGAACAGAGGTTTTTTTTTTTTTTTTGACTGTAAATGTATTCATCAATTAGCCTAATAATGAGTTATATTCTTGGTAGAGTAAACTACTTTGATTACAAATAACTTGAATCCAGAAATGGTCTAATTACATTGCAAATAAGCTCAAATTTAGTGTACAGAGAATATGAAAATATTTAAAAATCAAGTCCATTAATTGATGTATATGCTCTGTAAACAAATAACCTTTGGCCACAAACTCACGAATCATTTTGATTTCAGACATCATTTTTTTTAGAAAGCATGCTCGTGGCAATAAAACTTAGATGAAAGAAGCAAGCCTACACCTTTATGAAAGCACAGCATATGAACAAAGGCAATAGAGTTTTTTTTTTTTTTTAATTCTTTTTTAATTGCTTCAAGTATCGGATTGCCTTCCACCTACAAATCTTTACTTCTTTCTGTAATAATTATGATAAGGAATAAGTTCTTCAATACCTGTCTGTGCTCAGTCTTGGCCTCAATCACATGCACAAGACCCTTTCGAAGGTCGCTTCTGCTCTCTCTGTCTCTTGAGTTCCAATTGCAGGTAGTGTCGAAGGAAGATGATAATGGAAGAGCACTTTTCTACAGCTCTCATGCACACCGGGATTAACTATTAAGGTAGAATAACTGGAACTACAGATTTTTTTTTTAGAAAAAAAATGCCCTAGCCCCTATTGTTCATCGGCCAGATGGAAGACATGAATGCCACCAGCCGCCCCTTGCCCCCTCTCTGGACCAAATAGAGAAGCATGCCGCCTATGCCTTCCATTCGCACGCCCTGCACACCGCCTAGCCCTAGGATCGGGATTGATCGGCCAGGGAATTGGGGCTCATTCGATTGAGAGGAAGAGCTCGGGGCTGGGAATCGGCGGATTGATGAAACTGTCGGGTCGAAAGACTTGGAGCAGGTCGGAGGCGTAGACGTCGTGAGTGGCGGCCTGGCGAGGAACACGTGGAATTTGAACTTACCGATGTAGAGGCGGGACGGAGAGCAAAGGTCGGGAGACTGGCGTGAGCTTTCGGAGAAGGTGAGTCGGAGATGGATGAGCTTAAGGAGTCGACGTTGGTCTGCAGCGAACATTGAACATTGCAAGTGGGGCATTTCCATCATTTATGTGATTCAAAACTGAGGAAAGCAGCGACCAGCAGCGGACCGCAGGAGGCCTTCTTAAGATGGCAAAAGTAACCACGGGACGCAAAAATTTTTACAACGGAGCATGAACTCGGCGCCCCAAACAATCCTTCGGTTACTTTACATAACCTGAAGCAAGAAAAGCGTCGTCCCAAAAGCACCCTTAATCACATGCTTTCTCTAAATCAATAAATATCATACGTAGATCCTCCTTACTCTCCCTAAACTTCTCAATCAAAACCTCTCAACAAATGTATCACTTCCATAGTAGACCTACTCGACATGAATCCAAATTGATTTTGAGAAACATTAGTATCATAACATAATCTATGTTTAATTACTCTCTCTCTCTCTCTCTCATAAGATGACACATTAACATAATTCCTCTATAATTCACACTCTTGTGCATCATCTTTATTCTTAAAAAATAAGAACCAATACAGTCATTCTCCACTCATCTAACATATTTTTATTCTTCAAAAAAATATTAAAAAGTTTATCAAGCCAAGAAATTTGTTGATCTCCAGAGCATTTCCACATTTCTATTGAAGTATTATTAGGTCCTACTATTTTTTCACACTTCATTTTCTTTACAATCTCTTCAATTTTGGTTTTACTACTAGACGATAAAATAAAAATATCCATTTTCACTTAGAGTGCTAAGGTCATTGAAGTTAATCGTACTCTGACGATCTTCATTGAAAAGTTTATTGAAATATCATTAGGTCCTACTACTTTTATACTCGTCTATTAGCAGCACAAATATAAAGCATAAAAAATCAAAGTTAGAATGTTATCATACATTTGTTTACTTAGCTTAAAGTTCCATTCTTTTACAATTTTTAAATGCTGTGAAGTGCAAGTTATTCTCATTACAAAACACTTAATATGCTTAATCAAACTTAGAAGATTGAGAGCTGGTGCATTACCACACACATTGTTAAGTGGAACAATCATATTGCTAGTATTAACACATAAATTTCAAGCCTATAATATGCAAAATTGTTTTGCAATTCAATTCAGAGCAAAAGAAGTTTGAGCTTGGGTCCTCGCATATAATAGTCCAGAGTTTCAACACCCATCTACCTTCAGCTCTGTCCACAATTCTTAAATGAATTTCCCATCCGCCTATTCAATCTAATTTCATTGCGAACAATTTATAGACACTTCAACAATAAAACCGGTAATAGCATAAAATAAATAGGGAGCCTTCATAGTCCAGTTTAAAATCATTCCTTCAATCCCCGACCAGTCATCAGGTTCCATGACCGTCCAGAACAAGGCAATAGATCAGCGCAACCCCCATAAATGGACTTGAATTTGCTGAGACTAGGGTTTTAAGTAAATAGTGGAGCTTGAACGCTATGACCTCATTTTTGAGATCCTAAAAAATGAGGTCATAGTGTTCAAGCTCCACTATGCACACACGCATGTTGAATGTTGAATATCTTGTCATTAATGGTATTAACCTCGATGAAGGAAAATTAAACATATAACATAATTTGGTTATTATAACATAAAAAAATAAAGTGCCTATAATAAAATCATCAAAAGGGAAACAAACTGGGTGAATACGACAAAATTATTCAATATCACAAGCAGGAAAAATATTTAATGATGTTTTTGAGGCTTATGATTAAAGGAACATGCAAAAGTAATCAGGAAATATTTATGAACAAATAATTTCACTTGGTATTTGAAATGGCGAAGGACTAAAGTTGTAAGAGCTATATATGAAAAGAGGGAAACATTTATCTTGTGTGTAGAGTGAAAAGAAAAGATAAAAGTGAGTTGCGATCACCTCAAGTCCTCTAAAACGTCCAATGAATAATTCTGCAGATCTTATACTGCTTTGAGCAACTTCATTTAATACTACAGTCCTCCTTGTATTTTCAACAAGCGATGCAAGACTAGCTGCAAATGTTCGGTCAGATTCCTGTCGGAAAAGGCAGAATATTAACAACAATCAACTTGCATTACAGAAAATGTTATGAGGTACATAATTCCTTAAAATGTCTAAATTGAAATGCATACAAGTTATGGAAGAAACCAGAAAAATACATCAAAATTGCACCGCATAGCTGTCATGCCAAAAATTTCAAAAAAAAAATTACAATTAAAATTTTATCTAAAATTATACCTTATTTTTTGCACATATCAAATATCGTCAAAACTATTATTATATATTTAATTTCGATCATTTTGAGATATATAGAAGAAAAAGAGGAAGAAAGCTTAGTTTGGATTTTTGTAATTTCTCCAAAGAATTGAGTGTCTTCGAGTTGTAGGGATTGAATGATAAGAAAAAATTTTAAGGTAAAATTGTATTTTGAGGTTATTTGATATAAAAGTGTGTTGCTAGGTTATAAATTGATTTTAACTGAGGAACTTGATGATTTTATTAGAATGTATACAAATGATCAATATTTTGGTGTGTCAACTGGAGATGATCCATCCTGAGGAGAATCCAGTTAATTCAATGGGATACTCAATCTCTAAACAAACGGTCAAATTATTCCTAGGTCTATTATTCATAAATTATTGTAAATTTTATTTATCTGTTATGTGTATTGGCATAGAATTTCTTCATATTAGGCATACTACCAGTTCGTGTTATTAAAAAAATCAATGCATTTTGTGTGATCACAGGTTCAAAGAAAATTTTATAATATTTTTATTTAACTCAAGCCATAACACTATTTAATAAAGTTTGATGCATATTTAAATATTGAGTTTTACATGCAATACTTTACCTTTGATACATGTTAATACTTCATTCAAATGGATTGATAACAAGTGCATAGTTTTAGATCCTTATGAAAATGATGTAAAAGTAAAGAAAATAAATGAAAGACCATGTCATGTGGGATAGGTTGAGAAACTATGATGACCTATGCATAAGGCAAAAGTTTAGATGAGATGAGCCTCATTAAGGAAATAAAAAAGATTTACGGCTCTCTATTCTAGCAATTGGAATGGGCCAACTTTGAATCAAGGGGTTGTTGATAATTATAATGTTGAGCTAACTAAACTTTATCAATAGTTATTAAAGCCATTGGGCTATGTGAAAACCAAGCGATATAAATGAGTCAAAAGCTTATACCAACGTTACATAACATCACTAAGAAAAAAGATATATATAAATTAAGAAGAAAATTAAAGTTAAGCAAGTAATCTAATACTAGCAATTGGCTAGCATGGTTGATTAAACAATTTGACAATTCCCATATATTCATGTTCATTGCTTACAGTCAAGTCTATCATTTTATCAAATCATTTGATTTAGAAATATTGCACAAAGTTAGTTAAATTTATGAAGATAAAATATATTAATTCACATGATCAGCATAGCATGTTTTCTTGTTTTCTTATATGTTTGAACATTACATTATAATTGTTTATCCCACTGAGCAGGTAGCTCATTTGATATTATAAATATGTTTTTCAGGCAAAGGGAAAGAGTAGTTGGGGTTGTAGGCAAGTAACAAGTTATCTTGTACCATAGCATTTGGGTGCACAATTTTGAAAATAGCATATAAGAAGAATTATATGATGTAAAGTAAAAATTTTGGTTCATATGAATTTATGTTTAAAGTTTATTTAAAAGTTTTATAGTTCATTTGATGATTTTACTTATGCACGTTTCTGAATCAATGCTTCTGATAAATCTAATAGATAACTGTGAAGCATAAAGTATTTTTTTTGTGACAATTTAGAAAATAATTTTCTCTCATTTGATCTTGAATTAAATAAGAATATGTGTCAGAAAGAAATGTGTCAGAATAAATTGTTCGTGTATGTTACAGCAGCATAGTTGATTGGAGGGGTCCAAAATGGGACACGACAAAAGCACCATTAGTTTCCAAAATTTAAGAAAAGGTCTCACAAATGAAAGTAGCACTAGAAGAATACAAAACATCTAAACATAACATACCTGAGAATATTCATTAGCACCAAACAACTCGATGACAGTTGCACTAGTTAATTAGGAAGCTCATGATGCCCACATTAGCATGCAGAGCAGAGACCAAGAATAGGTTTTTTTTCTCATTCATTTGGAGTGTTTGTTTAACATGTCAACATATCGAATTTTGATAAAAGGATTTTACAAATTAAATAAAACAACTTCATAAACATACAATGGCGCAACGTGTTCATGTGTGATTAAAGTAAGGATATGAGAACAAGGTTCCTGACTTATATGGCCTGGTCTACAAATGTGGTGAGAAGTAGCATGAATTAATACAAAATGGTCTGGAGTACAACCTCATGATTCAGACATCGTGAAGCTCTACCTTAGTAGCAATAGGATCAAAATTATTTGCCTGAAAGCTCCGGATACAAAATATTCAAAAGATATGTTACCTAAACCTCAAAGCCAATATGCAAAAATAAAAAAGTTAAGAGGCTGGTTGGGCACACTTTCTTTTTTCTTTTTCTTTTTTTTTCATTTTTAGATATGAAATAAAAACAAGTTTGGTATGCTAAATATAGACGGTTTTCATTTTTAATGAATATCTCATAAGTCATATGCATCACACACGTGGCGATGATGGGGGATGGTGGCGACAACCGATGGTTATGACGATGGCGGAGTAGCAATCAATGGCAAGGTAGGGTGGTGGTTAGTGGTGGCAGCAACAGCCAACATGGGGTGCCTAAGAGTTAAAATTGAGAAATAATGAAAACACCTAACAATTGTTTTGAATGTTTTAAAAAAAATATTTATTTTTACAAACAAAATAATTACTAAATGCTTAAAAAATATTTTTAACAACAAAAAATAAAAAGCGAGGCCAAATGGCCCATAAGCTCTCTAGTCTATTTTTATGATGTGGTGTTCAAACCAATAAAATATGCATTGCAAACTAGATGCAGCATGGGGTCCTATTAAGAGAGATGATAAATGACAAATTTAGGTTTTCAAGCTAATAAATGATTCATATTGTACCTTTTCTAATCTTCGAAAGCATTGCATTTGCTGTAGATAAACTTTTAACAAGTTTAAAAGGGCATCCAATGTGAAAGTTAAGGAATTCAATATTTATAATGTTCTTTTTTGTGATCAACTTATCACATTATTATCATCATTAGCTTTATCTCTATTATTTAGGCACACCTTTCTAAGTTTTCCTCCATTCTATCTTGTTGATTGTTATATATATAGCTTCTGATCTATGAATTCTCTCCCAGTCTTTCTTATTGGTTGCTATATGAGATGATAACTCCTTTTTGCATGACTTTTTTGCACAACTATTAACCATGCTTCTTTTACCCTACTGTTTTTTTTCTTAATCCTTTCACATTAATTCCATCTCTCCGCCCTATTGGTGCCTTCTATATATGCTACTATATGCAAAGCACTAAGGATCTCATCCACTATCTAAGATCGAAGAAATTCTACCCTTATCATCTATTTAATATAATTCAACTCACATTTTTTCCTTACAAGGTTTACAACACATCCACCACTTAACATTATCATTATTTTAAATCTTGATGTACACAAAAAAACAATTTTCAGTATGATTATGATGCAGGACCTGCTATTTGCAATGGCTCCTTTTACCACATCATCTTCAGTTGGCTTTGAAGCATTTGCACATTTCCAGTTGTACATCATGCAAGCCAGGGACTAGATCTGAAGACACTAACCCGCCCTTTTTTTTTTAAGTTTCCTGCATTATAAAATTTCTTTCAATTTTAAAACCTATATGCATATTTTAAAAGATTGTCAGTTTTAGACTTGTTTTAGACGTTCTTCAAAAAGGTTAAGAGTTGATATTAAGACAATAGTCAACCATCAAACATACGAAAAAATAATGAAATTAACCCAAATTTAAATTTTTCAAGTACGAAAATGTTCCCCAGACATAACATGCTAGACCCAACTCAAATGTGGTCAAAAGGCAGGGTTTGCCAGGACTTCACCCACAAGAAAAATGACATAACTTACCATGATTGTCACAAAAAAATTAGTAAAATTTGGCTAGCATGTTGAAAGCAAGTGGTGTGCCACAACTTAATCCAACTAGGGTGAAAAATGGCAAAAAAATTGCAAAGAATTGACTAAGTATAAAGTTACAACTATACTTGCTATATGGAATTTAGAACTTTGAATGAGAAGATGAAAGAATTAGTAAAAATAATGATTAGAAGAAGAATTAGCAGTGTATGTTTGCAATAAACTAAATAGACATGAAAAAATTTGAAGACAATGGGAAAAATTGAGTTGATGTATGTTAGAAAGGCTAAACATACAAGAGGAACAAATGATAATTATCAAGGTGACTTAGATGGATATATATTCTAAAATGAGATAGACATGTAATGGGAGAAACTATACTATATTTTGTATTAGTATATGATCTTGCAATTGGGAATATACCTTAAGAGATAAACACTTAATTACTGTTGAAAATGGAATTATAGAATAACAAAGAGGTCTTTTTTTTTAACTTAGAAGGGGGGAAAATTTTGCAAAGATTGTAGTTATTTCAGGTGAAAATTTTGAGCATATAAGATAGAGTAAATCACAGGACTAAAAGGAAAACTATTAGAAGAAATATTTGCTCAAATAACAAAAAGGTAGAACTTGAAAGGTAAGATTGTTTAATAAAAATTCAAGAGATAGATAAAATAGAATTATTTAATTAAGTCAATCTTGATGTGGGATAAGATATATAATTCCATTAAGAAAACTGTAACAGAAGTCTTAATAAAGTCCATAATTATATCATATATTAAAGAATACATAATGGAGCCATGATGTAGTAAAGAGGTGCTAAGGGCCATTAAGGAAGAAAAATATGCTTTTAAGAGTGATAAAAGATAACTGCTACTAAGGCTTATAATAATTATTGAAAAACTACAATGTTTTACAAAGAAAATAAGAAGCAAAACAAATGTTACAACCATTGATTGTGGAAGGAGAAA